GTAATTCGACGCGTGGTAATTCGACGCGTAGTAATTCCGCGCGTGGTAATTCAGTGCGTGGTAACTCTACGCATAGTAATTCAGGCAATGGGAATTCAACGCGTGGTAATTCGACGCGTCGTAATTCGAAACGTGGTAACTCCCGCGTAGTAATTCGACGCGTGGTAATTCGACGCGTAGTAATTCGACGCGTGGTAATTCGACGCGTAGTAATTCGACGCGTGGTAATTCGACGCGTGGTAGTTCGACACATAGTAATTCCACGCGTAGTAACTCCACGCATGGTAATTCAACGAGAGGTAATTCCACGCGTGGTAATTCAACGCGTGGTAATTCGACGCGTGATAATTCGACGCGTGGTAATTCGGCACGTAGTAATTACACGCGTGGTAATTCAACGGTTGGTAACTCGACGCGTGGTAATTCAACGGTTGGTAACTCGACGCGTGGTAATTCGACGCATGGTAATTTCATACATAGTAATTCCACCCGTGCTAATTCACCAATCGCAGCGCAAGGATTACATGCACTCTAATTGGTCCGTGTTTTAATAATTCAAAAACGAAGCTTCAAACTCCATTTTTGCAAAATACCTTTATAATAAATCATAACAATTGCACACAATTTTTATATATTATCATCATATAAAAATCAACCACTAAAAATTACGTGATACAATTTTGTTCTTACACTACGTAAAATTGATTATAGACTGATTATAGAATGCTTGAAGTTAAAGAAATTTTGCTCACAAAAGACAAATTTTCATGTTAATATCCACAGTACTGACAGCCCATAAAGCAAGAACTAAAAACAAATAAATTTGTTCAAAGGCACAATTCGTTAAAAAAACCATGTATGAATTAACATAATAAATGGTACATTATACGATTGTAAATGAAAAAGATCCGGTGACCGAACGTGGAACAGTCAAGTATACAGTGAAAGGTTTTAGATAGACAATAAAAATTCATCAGTTCTAGATCGGTAGTCCAATCGAGAACTTAAGAATAATTTTCAAGAGTCACAAGAAACCAGAACAACCTGCCGGGCAACGTGTGTCGTATACGGGTTACTGCAACGGTAATATAAGACAAATTGAAACTATTCTCTCGACCAAAAACTTGACGCCTGTGCGATCATCGAGCGTACGCCCGCGTACGGCTTCTTGCTAAATAATTAGAGACTCGAACAATTACATAATGAACGCAGACCCGGCAATTTCGTTAGATCAAGACCAGCTAGAAAAAAAGTATTACAAATACGTTTCGTAACGGAACCACGCCACGCTTGCTTTCCTTATCAGGAATCATGATCGATCAACAAACGAATAATCTTCAATAGTACTATACGTCATACTTGCTTCAAATCAGGTTAGGTTATTTGAAGTTGGGACCTTTCTAATTGAGTAATTTTTTGAGGGAGAACGATTAACTTGTTCGGAGGAGATAGAGGAGATGAAATGTATGAGATAATAGCATTGTGTAATTTTTTATGTGTAGTAGTGGTATTTATATTTTTTAAGTATGTGTTCACTGGGAAATTTGTGATATAATAGTTATTGGGATATTATGACAATTTTGAATTATTTGGGGTTATAGGTTATAGGTAAGGTTAGAAAGAAGGTTATAGGTAAGGTTACAGGTAAGGTTACAGGTAAGGTTATAGGTAAGGTTATAGGTAAGGTTATAGGTGGGGTTACAGGTAAGGTTAGAAGGAAGGTTAGAGGGAAGGTTGTAGGTAAGGTTATAGGTAAGGTTATAGGTAAGGTTATAGGTAAGGTTACAGGTAAGGTTATAGGTAAGGTTATAGGTAAGGTTATAGGTAAGGTTACAGGTAAGGTTATAGGTAAGGTTATAGGTAAGGTTACATGTAAGATTACAGGTAAGGTTACAAATAAGGTTATAGGTAAGGTTATAGGTAAGGTTATAAGTAAGGTTATAGGCAAGGTTATAGGTTATAAGTTATAGGTTATAATTTATAGGTTATAAGTTATAGATTGTGGGTTTAATCTGTACGAAATTAAAATATAATAAATAGTCAATTTAACAATTTTTTTTCCAACTATATTAGAAAAATTTCATTTTAATATTGACTGAAACCTTGTTAAATAATAGTGCTTCTTTATTTATTTTGCAATCAATGCTATATGTAGGAAGTTCAAATAATTATAAACAAATTTTGTAAATTTATACAGCAACTCAAAAATAAATATTTACTGTATTATCATAGAATTATGTACTTTTTATTCATTACATTAACTTTCTAACTAATGTAACAAGTACTGTTGTGGTCCCTTAAAGAATAGCTCCAACACGAAATAAAGAGTGAAAAATACATCTTGAGGTTTTTAAATTTGTTCTGACTTTCGAATTCGGTAAATGGCGTGGATAATAGAATTTAATGGCTTGTTAATCAAGTTTCTTTCTCACAACAGCGAATCTGTTACAAAATAATTATGATGTAAAGACATTCAATTGAAACTAAATTCACTTTGTATTCAATCAAATCTGATATTATCTTCAATTCTTATTGCATTTCTTACTTTTGTCTATTAAATGAAGCTTCCATGTATTCACTGTTAAATTACAAGGAGTTAACATCCCTTAGTTATAAATACAAAGTGTAATAAAATTGATTTCCATTGAAAATAGAACGAATTAACATCCTGTGGACCAGCAGTTGATTTACCAGGTACTCAAGAAACCGGGCCAAACTCTTAACGAATATTTAAGGAGGCAACCTCAAAATCCACCAAATGAAATTTTCATACATTTCCAATTTACTTGTAAAGTATTAACGTCTCCTTGTTACAAACACAAGAGACTTCTGTTGAAAATTGAGCGAGTCAACATCATGCGGTCCAGCGGCTGATTTGCCAGATTCTCGACAAACCAGGCCAGACTGGTAAAAAATTCTTAAGAAGACAAGCTTAAAAACCATCGAAGAAAGCTTTCATGTATTCACTATTAAATGATAAGAAGTAATATCCTTTTGTTAAAAATACAAAAAGAAATGAAATGTATTTCTTTTGAAAATTGAGCGAGTCAACACCATGCGGTCCAGCGGTTGATTTGCCAGATTCTCGAGAAACCGGGCCAGACTGGTGGGGAACATTTAAGGGATATAAGGTGCTGTAACGAGACAAGGCAGCCGTATATACAGGAGTCGAATAGATAGTGAAAGTCCCCCAGTGCTAACAGACAGGAGTGTAGAGGGCAAGAGGGGGGCAGGATCGGAGGACCCCAGTAAGGTATATGAGGGCCTCAGTTCGAGCAAACGCTGGTACTCTAGCCTCGCTGCCTACTTACATTCACACACACTAACACAACCACCACCTGGAACACAATGTACACCGTCGCGACGGTACGTATTCAGTGCGTCATCATCGTCATCGTTTTAATTATCTAGCCCTTCCGCTTTAATTTTCTCATCGCTGCATTTCGATCCGTCAGCCGTCAGGCTCCCCTCACTGGCGTCATAGTGATCGTCGTTCTCGTCGATCGATAAAGGATCGCTTTTATTTTCAACCTGGACAACGCGAGTGATGTGATCGTTTCTTATCGTGACGGGAATGTGTTTGTGATATGTGCGTTGCTGGTGCACGCGAATGGACCTCGTAAAACCTTGACATGATCTAACCGAGTACAATTCGGCCATTCAGGAATTCGCGTTGCGAGTAATTAACCCTCGAAGTCGGATTAGTTGTGACACCTGCGATGTGGTGCTTCGTTTTGAAATTTGGGGACAGAATGTTTCGTACACTGGAAAATAAAATTTCGATAGTTTAGATAATATTGCAGAAGATAACTTTCGTAATACTGAAAAGTATAGTTTAGATAATATTTAAGGAGGTAGAACATTATATTTGAAAGGGTAGTTCAGATAATATGTGAAGAATTCAATCTACATATAAATTACCCTTGCTTCAGCTTCTAGGTTAATGAACATTAAAATTGAAACAGAAGAAAAATTTTTAATATTAATAAACCTGTAATTGGAACATCGTTCAAAGATAAATTACATGTAGCTAAAAATTAAGTATTTATAACAAGTCAGGTAATTCAGAAAGATATCTTTCAAACGATAGAAATGAATGATTTTTATCCAGAAAGCGAATTAGACAAAATGTAGTGAACAATGATTTAATATTTTTTGTTTCTTATTTTTCAAGTGTGTTATGTACGTATAATTTGATAATTAGGGAAGGTAGAAATAGCAAGAACTTTCTCGGGTAGCTAATATTATCGTATGCCTATTAGACACGGCTGTTTCTACTCGAGACTTGAGGACACGTTCACTGCCACAGTAGAAAAGGTCATATGTGATACGGCACCTTTTAACGGGAATTAACGGTACTATATCACTCAATGATATCAATCAACGATTTCTCCTGCCTTCATTATGCAGTTAATTATTGATGAATTTTAATGGAGTTTTAATTCTTGAAATTTTAATATTTGATTTCTTTTTCTGTATTTGAGTTTTATGTTAAATATCAAGTTTGATATATGAGACTTTAGTTAAAAAGTTATAATTCCGGATTCGAGGGTTAATGATACTTGAAATAATTTGTTTATATTGTAGATAATTAATTTTAATGAAAATATAGTAGGAAGTGGAATTGCAATTATTTAATATATGATCATTTCAATTGCTATTTAAACTCACTGCTATTTTACGAAATATATTATCACGGTAAATATTGTGAGGTCAACAGTGCAATTTTAATAAGAATGGACATTAAAGAAAATTTAAAGTATATTCAATATAATGTTAACATTGTATTAATTTCGTAAAATAGTAATTATAGAGTTGAAAGTAAGAAATGTAGCTGTCATATCATATTTCAAATAATTACAATTACAGCGTGCTATATTGCATACTAAATGAAATTTTATTCGAACCATTGCTAGTGACTTCACAATATTCAACGTGTTAATTAAATTAAATTCGGTAGGAAAAGCATGTTGAAATAATTAAAGACAAGAAATAAAATTCTTGTATTTCAAATAGCATTACTACCTTTCTTCAACAAATGCTGAAGAAAGAAATGATTTCATAAAGAAATGGCAATATAGGAAAAGTGTATCAATATGGTGCACCACATACGTACAAATATTTACGCGGGAAAATTTTACAGCCTGCCAAACGAGAAAATATGTTGAACAAATTAGAAATCATGCAAGATCACAAATATTAACTTTCCCTACTTAACTTTCTATACTAATAATATTAAAAATAATATACTAATAATACAGATAAAATATACTAACAATATAACCAAATTGAAACCCCGTAACCTATAATTCAGAAGATAATTAATTACACTCTCAGTAATTAGAACTTCAATATGTCTTACAATAGAAGCCTATTTCCACCGCGGTATTTAACCTTTTCGCTACAACGGGCGGCCATAATTGTTCACCGCCAAGCGTTCACATTTCAAAATGGGAGCCATGCAATGGAAATGTTCATATAACAATTGAGAACAAATATATTGCGGTAAAAAATTTCTCATTGCAAACAACTTCTTTTTTATTTGCATTCGGAATTGGATAATTTAATATCGAGGCGTTTAAGAACAGGTTTCTACTAAAATAACCGTAGCGAAAGGGTTACAAAACGACGGGCAATTGTTCGCCTTCGGATTCTAATTTATAGTCAATTTTCCAATTTGAATATTTATTTTTATATTTCTAAATTTTTAACCATCAAGTTTCTTTTCATTCTAAATTTTTAACCATCAAGTTTCTTTTCGTTCTAAATTTTTAAATTATTAAATTTCTGTATTAATATTTTTGATATTTTCATATTTTTAATTGTTAAAATTTTTGGTTATCAAGTTTTTGCATTTTTGGGTTCTTAAATTACTAAATTTCTAAGTTTAATAATTTAATATTTTCATATCTCTACATTTTTTAATTTTAATTATCAAGTTTCTACATTTTTAAATTTCTAAATTCAATAATTTAATATTTTCATTTTTCTAAATTTTTTAATTTTTGGTTATCAAGTTTCTACATTTTTAAATTTCTAAATTCAATAATTTAATATTTTCATATTTCTAAATTCTTAAATTTTTAGTTATCAAATTTTATATTTGCAAAATTTCAAATTTTTAATTATATAATAAATTTCCACATTTCTAACTTCATAAATTCTTAAATTTCTTAACTAAAAGATACAATATTTCCATACAATCAAGCATTAAAATTTTTCATTATCAATCTACATTTCTAGATTTTTAAATAACCAACTCTCTAAATTCAACAACTTAACATTTCCATTTTTCCAAATACTTAAATTCCCATTTCCTAAATTCCTACATTACAAAATTCCAAATTTCTGATCTCAAAAATGAAAAACTTCCTTTAACTTGCACATAAACTTATTTAGCACATCAGTAATCGAGAGCATCTCGTTTTCGTTGAAACAGCCTTATCCGAAAACTTACGAAAGCAGTCGAGTCATTTCCTCTGCCGCCTACTCGAAGAAAGAGAATTATATAATGAGTTATGCGAAGTAGGAACACGTTCGAGAATTATGTCGGCCAGAATGCGGCTCGATAGAAACCGTTTCTCGCTCGCGCTCGTTCGGGCGGAACTGCAGAAAGTGTCTTACACAGATGCATAACCGGCCAATTTTCGAGCGCAATTCGACCGGATGGATTTAGCGAACGAATAAATACGCAACGAGGAAGAAACTTATTCATCGAGTTTAAAGCTCGTTTATCATCGGACTTTTACCGTGTATCTCTCGAGAAGAATCCGGTATCCTTCGAGTGCGGTTGTCTTGTTCAATGTGTTGTAATAAAGTCACGTCTGGCGGTTAAGGTTCTGGTAAATCGAGGGGTCATGCGTCACTGCTCTCGGTCCTTTCTACAGGGCAATTACGTTTTATGAAGTCTCGGATTAACAGCTTTATATCGTTTAGCGCGATTATTAAATTTACGACGTTCCACCGAATAGATAATTTACGGTGTTTTCAACGGACGTGATTTTGCGCTCGTAAATCAGCCGATACGCGGATCGAAATAAAATGTGCCGATATAAAGTCCCGCCGTCGGGACTTTCTAAAACAATGACGTTTATTAATTGCACGCTGCGTTGAGAAACGATCGCATCGTAAACGATTTTCGTCCAACTCTTTCCGCGAAGCTCGAGCCACTTCCTGAAGAAACGACGGAAGTCGAGGTCGCGGGTAATTACGGTTATGATCCTTATGGATAATCGATTGGAAATTGCTTTCGAGGAATCTGAATGCGCTCATTGTGCCTGCTGAGCGATTAGGTCATTTTCACCTAATGTTACTGAAGTGGAAATGTTACGGAAGTAACATACGTTAACTACTTATTCTTGCTATAAGAGTAAGCTATTTTAATAGATGTTAACGCTTAACATGTAATTATCAAATTCAAAAAAAATTCAAAATTTGATGTAATTACAAAATTATTATTAGACTGTAAATAATTAAAATCAAATTTTTATAATGAATTTTCATCTCTGATGCATTTAGAACTTTTCAGCATTAAAAATATTGACCTATCAAAATTATTTAACTGTTCAAAATTATTTAGTCTTTCAAAATTATTTAACTATCGAACCATATTAAGTAATCGTGTATTACCATATTTAACCATATAAAGTAACTGTATTTTACATAAAAACCAGACAGTAATTGCATAATAATCATGAATGCATGTCTTCATGACAAACACAAGAAAACATTCTACATATTTAAGAATGTACACAAAAACCTCAAAGAGATATCAGAGTAAATGAATCAATGAATAGTTACATAAACCTGAACATAATAAGAAACATTTCACAAATAAATAATTTTGCGACTTCTATGATGTAATCATGAAATGTACATGCGCTGTTACACTTACGAAAAAGATATGATCCTAGGAATGTGGAGAAAACATGGTCAATTTTCTTGTATGTGCATTTAGGAAAAACAGGTCTTCCAGTTGGACCAACTTGCATAAAATCGTTTTCAGTGATGTATGAAATATCACACAATCGTGTACCATAATCGTAATTATTTAAAATACCATTCTTCAATATAAACTTCCTACTTCTTATTTTACAGAGAAACTTTACAAAATTTTATTTAAAAGTTTACTTAAAATTTTCGTCAACTTTTCCTGTCAGTTATTTAAGGGAATAACTTGTGTTATAAAGGGTATAGCTTATTAAGGTTAAGGTTAAGGAAATGCTCGGTCAGTCACAATCGAGAAAGGATTGATACATAAAAAAATAAATATACGTATTTACAAAATGAAATATATGTATTTTAAAACAATCACAAGTCCGATATTCTCAAAAGCAAACGTTCAATCTTTGTATTTTTCTTCGATGTACCTAGTATTAAATTTATGAGTTAATGAATCACATATTGAACACCACTGTATTTCACAGGTAATATCTTTGGTAGCTGCAATACTCGCAGTATCGGGCCAGCAATACCAGCAACCAGGTGGCAACTATGTGGACGAATACTCGGCATACGAGTCCCCGCGACCGGCTCATCCGACCCCTCGCAGTTACGCGTCCGACGCGGCACCGAACCGGCAATCAGCAGGTCCCACGACTCCGAAGCCAACTCCAGTGGCCATTTTGAAGCAAATAAACAGGCACAACGAGGACGGTTCGTACACGTACGGTTTCGAAGGCGCGGACGGTTCGTTCAAGATCGAAACAAAGCTGCCTACCGGAGAGGTGAAGGGTAAATACGGCTTCGTGGACGACACGGGCAAAGTTCGAGTGGTCGAATACGGAGCGAATCAGTACGGATTCCAACCGGCTGGAGAAGGTATCACGGTGGCACCGCCGACCTTGGTGGACGAAACAACCAGCAAAGAAGCTCTGCAAGCGCAGAACTACCAAGACGAGTACCAGCAACCGGCTGCTAGGCCCGCTCCTCTTCGCTCTGTGGCGCCTGCGCCTCGACCCGCGCCTCTTCCGCAAGTTCAATACGAGCAGCCATCTTTCCAGCAGCCGCAATCCCACACCCAAGCGGTCTACGCTTCCCAAGCGGCACCCAGACAACCCATCCCTAAACCAGCCATCTTCACCCCGGCCGCTCAAGCCATTCCTAAACAGACCACGATTCTTCAACAGAGCGAGGAACCATCGCCTCCTTCGCAATTGTTTAATCAAGGACCTGCTCAATTTGCACCCGCTCCCGTTCAGGAACGCCGCTCCCAGCCACAACCTCGAAGCCAGAGTGGCGGTATCTTGGATCAGCTGGCTAGGGATTACGCTCTTCCTCAGGGCGTTGCACCGCCGCTACACGATATCAGTTTCGGTTATTACTAGGCCCTCTAGTCCCTCCCGTGTTCGTCAGGGTGGTACCCGTGCGTTTTGGTATTTACGTTTATTGTCTGGAGACGCGATTTTGCGAGATGGACGCTGTAATCGCGTGTCATTTACCGGGACAAATATCGAGAAACTGATTGGAAAAACGATTTAATGATTTTTTTTAATTTATTTTGATTGTTCTTGATCTTTGTCTCGGTAACGAGTCATGGTTGCCTACCGAATTTAGTCTCTGCGATAAGAGTTCTTGCCATTGGAACCGAATGTGAGGGTATGGAATGTAAAGTGAAATTGAAGCGTAGCTAAACGATTTACGTATTCGATATCAAGTTGAATGGAGATAATTTGAGATTAAAATGAAGTGTATAAATTAGGAACTCGAATTTTGGAAACGGTTATATTGATACAGAAAACAACCAGCAGATATTGAAGAAAATAATGAGAGATTTATTTGATAATTTCATGTTGGATCATCAACGACTTAGCTCCATCAAATGATGGTTTTATCTCCTTCATATGAGAAGGTTCATTTACGTAAATAATATCAGACTGAAAAAAAAATATGAATAAAATTGCTCAATTTGAGACAGTGAATTAAGACATTATAATAAAATTAATACAAAATACATTATTCTGATGATAATAGTCTTCATAATATGCAAAAATAAAATTTTTATGATTACCATAAATATTTTGCTAGTAATATAAAGTGATGGATTGATTTATTAATTTGAAAAATTAAGCAATATTATCTTTGACAATTTTTTTATATAACATGGTCTTATGAGCATATTGTATCTTTTGTCGAAAATTTTCTATGTATTGCTATACTATAATTTTGCATACTCTTCGATTTTCACTGGATTGAATACGTCAAGATCGTACCATGCTGGGGAAGGCTAAAAAAATAATTGTAAATAAAATTTCACCGCGGTAGGCGTCCGTGCTGATTTTATAATTTCAGAAAATGCAGCTTGCACGTGTCACAAGCATTTTGAATAAGAAATTTCGTTTCAATGGAGAACCTCGCTTCGTCAAGCTGCGTTTTCGAGTTCGCGTCTTGCGAGACTGCACGATCAATTCAGCACGCTTACTATTGTAATTAGATTATTGTAAGATAATAACTATATAGATTGGAATATGAGATCACGACACTTCTCGTAACACGGAATATATTTCTCTCTAAAGATAGTTAACGACGTTCCACTCACGACTCTCATTTATGAATCACGCATATTCTCTCGATGTTTGAATTTGTTAAATTTCAGAACACAAAAGGAGAATCAGAAACTCGTTCTTTATTTTATATCATTCTGCTGTACCACTTAATGTATTGATCCGTTTGTTAATAAAGATTAAATAAACATTATTTCATAGTCCCAATGTATTCCCAATAATTTACAATTTTTTAAATTCTCTAATATGTTCTTTAATGTATTCATATTTCCAAACATCCGAATTTTTATATATATTTTTTTTTTAATATAAAAATGTCCAATCTTTTATATTTCTGCATTTAAAAAATTGTGTAACATTATCTTTTAACATTAAAAATTTACATGTCTACATGTCTACATTTCTATATATTTAAATATCTAAATTTTCATATATTCAAGTACACATATATATTAATATTTGAATATGTAAATATCTAAATTTGTAAGTCACTAAGCAAACAATTTCTTAAATGAATAAATTTTAAAATAAAATAAAATAAATTTTGCATGCATTATCTGTTCAACATCATTCATCACTATACTTCATCATTCATGTCAAAAGTAGCAAATATAAAATAAAATGTGTCATCCTTCACAAAATATTTAAAAAAAAGTACAACTTCAAAACGAATGAAAACTCACAAATATATAATAAAATTAATAGTAATAAATTGTCTACTGAAATCTTACTCCTAATATTTTTTTCTCCACAAAATTAATGAAATATATAACAATCTTCAATGTTCAACCAAGCACCATTCAAGTCGATATTTTTCTCATTTCCACTTAATTTTCCATCTCTCTCCAATAAAATTGCAGCCACTTTTCAAGTCAAATACGTGGATAAATGAGTTCGGTTGTCAACTAAATAGCTCCTTAACTTTCTAACTGTTAACGTTTTTGAACCAGTTTGGGAAACGACCTTTCAAATTATTCCTTGTATGATAAAAGTAAAAAGACATGGCTGACGTGTGTCGAGTTGTTCCGGAACTCTAGTCGTCGGAATTTTAGTTGCGAAATTCCTTTACCGACCTTCACGTTCGTTTAACGTAAAGGACGCAGAATTCACCTGGATAAACAACGATACCGTATGGTTACCTTACTATTTAATATAAAAGCTGATTTAGCGATTGTTGTTCTGTAATTACGTGAGAACTGTGGGAGCGGCTCAAGACAATTTTATTTCGTTTCCGAAGATTAATTGTTAAATTACGGTATAATGGGATAATGGATATCAGGAGTGTTGAGTACTGAAAAATTTGGATAGGCGGAAAAATTTGTGAGCATTTTGAAAATTTAGGAATTTTGGGGGTTGGAGGAGGTTGAAATTTAGGAATTCAAGGAGATGGTAATTTTAGAAATTTAGAGATTTGAGAATTGAAAGAATTAGAAATATGAGAACTTAGAATTTTGGAAATGTGGAGATTTGATTTAGGAAAAATTTTGATGTAGCAGAATTCAGGAATTTTGGGGGTTGGAGGAGGTTGAAATTTAGGAATTCAAAGAGGTGGAAATTTTAGAAATTTAGGGATTTGAAAATTTGGGATTTTAGAAGTATGGGAATCTGAAAATTTCGAAGTGTAGAGATTTTAAATTTTAGAAATTCTGGAGATTTATAAATTTTGGGGGGTTGGAGGAGGTTAAAATTTAGGAATTTAAAGATGTGGAAATTTTAGAAATTTAGTAATTTGAAAACTTGAAACTTCAGAAATATGAGAACCTGGAAATTTGAAAATTTGAAGAATTTCTAAATTAAAAAATTTGAAAATTTAAAAATGTAAAGACTTGAAATTATAAATTTGAAATTAAAAAATTTTTAAATATTTAACTACCCCAAAATAAAAATAGTTCAAAATATTTCCCAAATATTTTCTTATCCAATAAAAATATCCTAACATTGAATAATTCACTATGCACAGAGCCTGCACTGACGGCAACCAGAACTACGTTTCTGCAAAGCAAGTCAACGTCCAAGCAAGACTCCATTTTCTCTATCGTAAAATGATGAAATTATCTCAAACAAAAGAATAGAACTTGCAACCACTTTTTCTCACAGAATAAAGAAGCTCAAAAGTGATGTAGAAATTCTATTGTATACCTTGGATCTTTACTACCGAAATTCTTATATTCTCACACGCATCCTTTTGTTGTTATTTACTACTTTAGTACACTACGACATTTCCTCTGATGTCACAACGGTTATTCTTTGACTTCAAAATGGTGTCCTTTATACTCACTAATTATATTAACTTTTTACGTTAAATACTTACCGTTGTAATAAAAATTATTTGTAAAGGGTATGTTAGGTTAGAAACAATGTGCTGTTTCATTTAAGTTTTCTTAACCTGGCTAGTGATGTGTGTACATGTCATTTCAAAAATATTTTATTAAAATTTCTGCAGTTGACGAACAGTTGAATTAATTTTTTATCAAATAAAAGTGTAATTATTCCTTTGTTCTAGCTTTGTTTTACTTTTTGTATAAAATTTGTTATATAAGCATTTATCCTGTGTTTGACACAAGTAGTTGGTTCATCTTCATTAAGCATCTAGCAAAGAACTTCAAAATTAAAATTATAATAATTCTAACAATTTCTATAGTAATTATTAAACTATAATATATAAATTCTTATAATAGTCATTACAATAATAAATTTTTATAATAGCCATCACAATAATAAATTTTCATAATTGTCATTAAAATAATAAATTTTCATAATAATTACACAATAACAAATTATAATTCCACAGTTAGTCTAATTCAAAGCTAATTTTAGACCAAATAAATTCCACGTAGAACATTTCCAATCATTCGCGTGAAATTCAGTGAACAACAAGTCACGAAAACTTGCGTCAATCAATCGATTTCAACGATGACGATAAATTCCGGCAGAATAGGTTCTGTAACTATGGTCCGCAATGTTGAAACCAGCGCAGCGCGTCGGCCATATTTTGCGTGACTCGCTTAGAAGATAACAAACAAACTATTTCCTGTATCAGCAGTTGATACAATTTCCTTCGAGTTGCAATTCCTTCACGCACACTCCTTTCGCTTGAGATATCGATCTTTGCTGTCAAAATTTCGGCCTCAATGTCGAAGTTAAAGGTCATAAATAGGAATGCGGAACTGGTGAATTTACAGATATGAACAATACAGCACTGAAAGGTAGAGAATGGTTTTTTATAAGGAGTTTATAGAATGATCGTGGAAGTTTGTTGTGGAAGTATTATTTTCTTGTTGGGGAATTTTGTTTGTTCATATTGTAGCAATTTGTGAAGTCTGTTCTAGAAAGTGAGACAAAAAGATCGAAACTGTGAAACTGTTTTCTGATAGAGAAGACTTGATAGATGGATTTGGTGAAAGCTTGTGACAAAATTATTTTTGAGATATTGCATTGAAATTTAAAATTTTGTAAGGCTGCTTGATTATATTTTTTATCCACAAATAATTTAGTAATTTCAAGGTGAATTAAATTAAAAAGTAAATTAAATTTTAAGGTAATTAAGCAGATAGTTTCCTATGTTTCCTATGTTTCCCACGTTTTGAAATAATAATAATTTTGCCAACATTTTGCTATGATTTCAAGTACATATTAACTACATTCTATTACACAAAAATTCTTGTTTCACTTAAAGATGTTTCCCATATTTTTAAAATGGGAATAGGTATAATGGCTAATATTTAGAATGGATTTAATTTACAAGTAAATTAAACAGTCCCGAATAAAAACATGAATCGAAAAACAAGATAGCTTTCAACGAAGTCACTGACTTAGTGCATGCGATTATGCAAGCAGCGAATGAATCTTCATAATGTTACACCTGCACCACGAACAGGCAACCTCGTTGCACATAAGAAGGTCAACGAACATGAAGTAATACTCACCTCGAAGGTGAGGTGCATCATGACACGATCACTTGGCACGCTGCCAACATATTGCTTGTGATTTGTCTTGTAATCCCTAACATCGCATCGTGTTACATACTAATTCGACGCTTTATCGAGCGATGGTAGACGTAGTTCTAGACGTAGGTACGCAAGGTGGAATTATCGGGGGAGAAATCATGAATAAAGAATGTATATTCTTCAGATGAGTATGTTGTACCGTTGTAAGAAGAATGGATGTTATGGTAGTATTAATAAATAATATGGATGCATTCATATATTTGCATGTATGAATAATAATAGAGATGTATCTGCTTTGTGTGGATGAATAATAATAAATAGAGATGCACTTTGTATGTATAAATAGTAGTAAATATTGTGGAGATGTATATGGTTTATAAATATAAATAATGATAAAGTAGAGATGTATCTGCTTTGTAAATATAAATAATGATAAAGTAGAGATGTATCTGCTTTGTCAATATAAATAATGATAAAGTATAGATGTGTTTACTTCATACATAACCTAAATGTAATCTAAATCATTC